CACCATCAGCACTGCAGACCCCACTTCCAGTGATGCAACTGAGCCAGGGTCTCGCCGTCTCCACCCACCCTGGACCCAAGGCCAGGATCCAGCTTCCAGTGGGTGAACTTCACTTTCCTCAGAGAGCGTAACAGAACAGCTCTTACAAGAGCTCAGTGATTATAGCAAGAGAGTATGACGAGCATAGCAATCCCTTGTAACAGATTCCCCCAAAAAGAGACAGGACTCAGATTGAGGGTGAAGAAGAACTGAGATTTTTAATGACACACACTCTGCTTTTATGCAATTCTCCCGTGCAAGGGAGACGCACAGACAATTATGAATTACCCAATCACACACTGGTTACATCCCACACATCTCCTCCCCTTAGCCTGAGAGGTAACACAATTAGCCGTACAGTTTAAAACATACTTTTTACCCGACTTCCCTAACTCTAAAACTATACATCCAATATTAATAAAAGTCACATATTATTATTAATCAGCACATTTCAAATACAAACATACCCAAAAATCATTTGAATCCGTTCAGGAGATAGATATAAGATAGATAGATATAAGTCACCAATTTCACACAGAAAAATGTCTAAGTCTCATTCGAATGCACGAACGGGGCCGTTCGTGCAAATAGCCCAGTCTAACAGTGCGTTTGAATCATCAAACACAGTTCGATTCCAGCCGAAGCATCGAAGTTCATGAGAAGGTAAGGGTCAGCGGTGTTCGTGGAAATGTGTTGCCGATTTTAGTTCCATAGATTCAGTGGCACCCACCGCTGACGTGTTCGACTAAATTAAAATGGCCGCTGCCACGTGTTCGGTTTTTGAATGGCGGCCACTTCGACTACTTCGGCACTTCGACTGCATCCGAAGTGCCAGTTTAAAAGTACAAATCCTTTTTCTGGGAGTTAAAAGGCCAGCAGCAGCACAATAAAAATCCATTATGCCCAAATCCTGTATTTAAAGGGCCAAACCTCCCAGGGACCATAATCACATGGCAAGAGGCTGGCAATTAGTCCTCTCCAGGCACAAGTGGCGATGTTAATTTCGCCACAAGGTGGATACCTCTATTATTTCTGTGTCTTACCCTTCCTTTGAAGATGCACTGCAATGGGTAAGGAAGTGTGGTCAGAATGCTCTTATGTCAAAAGTTGACATTGAATCAGTATTTAGGCTACTTCGTATACATCCCGACTGTTTTGGTTCATTGGGTTTTCAATGCGAATGAAAATTTTATTTTGATAAATGTATGCCTATAGGTTGTTCTACTTCTTGTTTTTATTTTGAAAGTTTTTCGAGTTTTTTGGAATGGGTTCTTAACCCCTTCAGACCGGAGGACGTACAATTACGCCCTATTTTAGGCGGCTCTAAACGCCGCCGCGCGTAATTGTATGCCCTCCGGTTTTTGTTTACTTACCCCCCCCCGCGGTAGATCCTCCTCCTCCGGTGCCCCCCGGCCATGTGAGAGTGGGGTCCTTGCGAGGACCTCACAATCACATGGCCGGGTAGGCTGCCTCCTGCATTGCCAGCAGGGGGGCTGCCTGTAATGACAGGTGGTCCCCCTGCTGGCTGAAAATAAAATTAAAGTAAAATTTATTAGTGTAAAAAAAAAACATATATATACTTAGATCATATATATAAGTATATATATATATATACACATATACATACACACACATACACTGTCTAGGTGTATTTTACTATTAATATATATAATTATATATATATATATTAATATCAAATTACACGTAGACTAATACTGATTAAATATATATATAATTATTGTTATATATATATTATATATAATATAAAAAAATTAAATATGTAAATACGTTAAAAAATAAAATTAAAAAAATAATGTAAAAAAAATTATTAAAAAATATATAGATGTGTGTTATTTCGTTCTAACTGTATTGTGATATTAATATATATATATTTATATCAAAATACACATAGAACGAAATAATATATATATCTACATACATAAATATATACGTATATATCACTATATATATACCTATATATAAATCTAAATATTTAAAAAAAATTATATATATATACACATATAGATTCACATACGTATATATTTACATATATTAATTCTACATATATATTTATGTAATATTTTTACATAATTAGGTATCTTAATTAATTACAATTAGCGGGACTTGCCTGACAACCCATGCCGAAAGTAAACTATATTAACCCTATTAACCCTATAACTTTCCAAGACACCATAAAACCTGTACATGGGGGGTACTGTTCTACTTGGGAGACTTCGCTGAACACAAATATTAGTGTTTCAAAACAGTAAAATGTATTACAACGATGATATCGCCAGTAAAAGTGAAGTTTTTTGCATTTTTTACATTTTACTGTTTTGAAACACAAATATTTGTATTCAGCGAAGTCTCCCGAGTACAACAGTACCCCTCATGTACAGGTTTTAAGGTGTTTTCAAAAGTTACAGCGTCAAATATAAGGCTTGCGTTTAATTTTTTTCACATTAAAATTCGCCAGATTGGTTACGGTGCCTTTGAGACCCTATGGTAGCCCGAGAATGAAAATTACCCCTATGATGGCATACCATTTGCAATAGTAGACAACCCAAGGTATTGCAAACGAGGTATGTCCAGTCCTTTTTTAGTAGCCACTTAGTCACAAACACTGGCCAAAATTGGCGTTTTTTGCATTTTTCACACACAAACAAATACTAACGCTAACTTTGGCCAGTGTTTGTGACCAAATGGCTACTAAAAAAGACTGGACATACCCCATTTGCAATACCTTGGCTTGTCTACTATTGCAAATGGTATGCCATTATGGGTGTAAATTTCATTCCTGGGCTACTATAAAATCCCAAAGGCAACGTAACCAATCTAGCGAATTTCAATTTCAAATGTAACGTGCTATATTTGACCCTGTAACTTCCAAAAATGCCATAAAACCTGTACAAAGGGGGTACTGTTTTCATAGGCGTGCGCAGCCTATTGCATTAGGGTGTGCACCCTAAAGCACAAACACACGTCGCGTGTGTGTGTGTGTGTGTGTGTGTATGTATATATATATATATATATATATACATACACACACACACATACACTGCTGTGTGTGCTGTTAGTGTGATGTGTGTGTGAGGGTGCTGTTAGTGTGATGTGAGGGTGTTTGTGTGTGTGTGTATGTGTTTGTGACTGTGTTGTTTGTGTGTGAGGGTGTTTGTGTGTGTATGTTTGTCCTGTGAGGGTGCTGTTTATGTGAGTGTCGTGTATTTGTGAGGGTGCTGTTTGTGTGTGTGTGTGAGGGTGTTGTGTTTTTTTAAATGTGCTGTGTGTGTTTGTGAGGGTGCGGTTAGTGTACTGTGTGTGTGTGTGAGCTGTATGTGTGTAGGTGCTGTATGTGTGTGTGCTGTATGTTTGGAGGGATTTGGCAGATTAGTAAATCCTTGCTGCCATGTTCCATCCCTGGTGGTCCAGTGGAGAGTGAACTCTAGCTTGCAGGGCTAGAGTTAACTCTCGCGAGATCTGAGCGTTGCCGCAGCAACACTCAGATATTGCGAGAGGAACCTGGCGGAGCGTCTGTCTAGAGCTCCCTGGGTCCTCTCCTGCCTCCCTCCATGCTGCTGTGGGCCGGTGAGGTAGATCTTTGGTCTCCCCGCTGGCCCATGGAGGCTTAGAGCAGAGCCGACACTCAGATAGCGCCGGCTCTGTGTGTGTGTGTGTGTGTGTGTGTATATATATATATATGCGTACACACACACACTCACAGACACATTCAGACACACACACATACATACACTCACAGACACATACATACACTCACAGACACACACACATTCACAGACACACACACACACAGACACTCAGACACACAAACACTCAGACACACAAACACTCACAGACACACACACACATACACTCAGACACACAAACACACACATTCACAGACACACACTCAGAGACACACACACACACTCACAGACACTCACACACACACTCACACACAGACACACACACTCACACACAGACACACACTCAAACACAGACAGACACACAGACACACACACTCACACACAGACACACACACTCACACACAGACACACACACACACACACTCACACACACACACTCAAACACAGACACACACACAGACACTCACACACACACACTCACACACAGACACACACTCAAACACAGACACACACACAGACACACACAAGAACAAATTATTACATTTTAATTTAAAAAAATTCCTCCCAGCCTCCTACCTGGAGTGGACTTTTCCCTGGGGTCCAGTGGGGGCGGGCGCCGCTCTCCAGCTCAGCGCGCGGCGAGGGAGCTCTCTGCTGTCTGCTCTCTGCTCCCTGCTCCCTCTCGCCGCGCGGGCTGTCTGCTGGAGCTGGGAGCCGGAATATGACGTCATATTCCGGCTCCCGGCATCAGCGCGCGGCGAGAGGAAGCAGAGAGCAGACAGCAGAGAGCTCCCTCGCCGCGCGCTGAGCTGCAGGGTGGGGGGGGGTCCATCACCTCTTGCCCCCCCCATGACAGGGGCAAGAGGTGAAACAGGGGGCACTGAGTGCCTGCAGGAACAGCGTTCCTGCTCAAAAAAAGTGCAGGAACGCTGTTCCTGCAGGACTCAAACCATAGGCGTGCCACGGGGATTAAGGTGTGCCCAGGCACACCCGGCACACCCCGTGCGCACGCCTATGACTGTTTTACACGTGAGACTTTGCTGAATACAAATATGTGTATTTTATTGCAGTAAAAGCAAACAGTATTATGACATTTACAGTTAAAATGTCATGTAGAACTAAAAAATCAAAAAAAATCTTATTTTCTACCATTTTTTTCATATTAAATTATGTTTCATAGCTAAATATTTTATATTAAATGAAAGCCCTGTTTCCCCTGAATAAAATGATATATAATAAGGGTGGGTGCATTTAATATGAAAGAGGTGAATTACGGTTGGACAGACATGTATCGCAAATGCCAGGTTTTGTTTACATTTTGTTTAGTTCACAACGTGTAAATTTGGCTTCATCCTTAAGGGGTTAAACAGGTTTTGGGTTTACATTCACTTTTTCATTATTTGGATGATTTTCTTTTTATTGGGAAAGCTGAATCATCTGATTGCTTTCATTTACTACAAATTTTAATTTCCATTGCTCAACAATTTGGCATTCCATTGGCAAAAGAAAAGACCGTTTGGCCTGGTAAATGTTTAAAATTTTTAGGTGATTATTGATTCTGAATAGAGTTGAGCGAACCCGGACTGTAAAGTTCGGGTTCGTACCGAACATTAAATTTTTTGGACCCCGGACCCGAACACGGACATATTACTGTATGTTCGGGTTGGAGTTCGGGGATTTAATGGCGCATTTTGAAAGGCTGCAGGGCTGCCAATCAGCAAACGTTTGACTCGTGTGCCCTTAAATCCATCACAGCCATGCCTAGTAATGGCACGTGAGCTCTTATTAGTGTAGGGAGAGGATGCTGCCGCTGTGAGAAGCGTCAAATACTGCTGTCACACTGCAGTTTTAAAACTTAAATTTTTTTGGTGCTAAACTGCTAAATAGTATTTTAGTTTGGTGCACTTCATATCTGAGAGTCAAATAGAAGCTTACAGCACAGTTGTAAACATTCTCATTTTCTGGGTGCTAAATAGTACATTTGCAGCATTTCTTGCAGTCCAATAAACTAAAAAAAAAAAATTGACTGTTGGTGGTTACATTGTCGCCTGACATAAAACATCTGTTAGTTTGGTGGGTGAACGCAAAGAATGAGGAGAGCGTCAAATAAGGGGCGTGGCTCTGGCCGTGGTGCTGGTGTTGGTGGAATCCCTGTTGCAAGGAGAGGACGTGGTCAGTCTGTGCCAGCTACACGCACAAGTGAAACACCTTCCTCATGTGCGAGTATGCTACAGAACCTTCAGCATTATTTGGTAGGTCCAAATACCGCTCTACGAATGGTGAGGCCAGAACAAGTACAGGCGATAGTAGATTGGATGGCTGACAGTACCTCCAGTTCCTGCATATTGACTCCCACCCAGTGCCCTGCTGAAAACTCAGAGTTGGTACCTGCAGCCCATGGCCATCTGTCTATCACCTCACCCCCTTGCAAATCACCCAAGCAGTCTGAGCCACATGTCATGCAGCAGTCAATTATGTTTTTTGATGAATCTGCTGGTGGGGTTTCCATGGGCCATCCACCTAGCCCTGCCCCAGAAGTGGAAGGGATTGAGTGCACTGATGCACAACCACTTATGTGTCAGGATGTGGACATGCAAGGACCACCACAGCACGTCTCTGATTACGAAACACAGGTGCCAACTGCTGTGGCTTTCGGCTTGAGGAGTGGGTGGAAGATGATGTGGAGGATGATGAGGTCCTAGACCTCACATGGAATGAAGGTCATGCAAGTGACGTGTCCAGTTTGGAGAAAGAGGCGGTGGTCACACAGAGGCACCAGCACAGCATAAGAGGGAGCAGGGTGCAAAAGTGGAGCGGCCGTCCCCTAGACTGTACGCCTGTTACTGAACACCGCACACAGGGACCGAGCACACCAAAGCCAGCTCCAAGGAGTTCCCTGGTGTTGCAGTTCTTCAGACAATGTGCTGACGAGAAGACACGAGTGGTTTGCGCGCTGTGCAATCAGAGCCGGAAGCGAGGCATAAACATGCTAAACCTGAGTACAACCTGCATGACCAGGCATCTACATGCAAAGCACGAGCTGCAGTGGAGTAAGCAACTCAAAAACCAAGAAACGTCTCAGGCTCCTCCTGCTTCCTCTTCTGCTGCTGTCTCGGCTGCAAACAGAGAATGTGGCAGCCATGCCACCATGTCCGCCACCGTCCCCAACCATCTCGACACTGTCCCATGGAAGCTTTTAAGCAAATGTTCCCAGACTCGCAAATTATTTGGTCTGAAACAGTCCCATGGTTACTTTGGTTGCACAATACTAAGCTTAAAACGTTTGAGAGAGTTCGGCACAAGCTCAATAAAGCCATGGAGAAATTTATGCCATCAGTTGGTGGTTTTTCTTTTCGCCAGGTTGACATTGTGGGGCAGTGTGAAGATTTTTTATAAGGTATGGTATTCAATTATCTGATGTCGGTTTGGAAATTTTTAATAATTATTGTTATTATTGGTATTATTTGTATAACGCCAACAAATTCCGCAGTGCTTTACAGTGGGTGGATGAACAAACATGTAGTTGTAACGACACAAGTCGGGTTGGATGCACGCAATGTTTTTGAGATGGAAGCGGCAGGATTTGGCGATCGACTGAACATGAGGCGTGAAGGAGAGGTCTGAGTCAAAGTACACCAAGGCAGCAAGCCTGCATGGTTGAGCTGATGGTAGCACCGTTGACTTGGAGGGAGACAGACAGGAGTAGCAACACTTGAGGGAGGAAAGACCAGAATTTCAGTTTTGGTCAAGTTGAGTTTAACCCCTTAAGGACCAAACTTCTGAAATAAAAGGGAATCATGACATGTCAACAGTGCTACCATCAGCTCCACCATGCAGGCTCACTGCCTAGGTGTTCTCTTTGACTCCGACCTCTCCTTCAAGCCTCATTTTCAGTCTATCGCCAAATCCTGTCATTTCCTTCTCAAAAACATTGCGTGCATCCGCCCCTACTTAACGCCAGATGCGACTAAGGTGTTAGTCCATTCCACTGTCCTTTCTCGCCTTGACTACTGTAATCCGCTTCTCAGTGGTCTTACGTGCTCCCAACTTGCGCCGTTACAGTTATCGAGGCTCATTTTCCTGTCTGCCCGTACCTCCCATGTGTCACCCTTCTGTCAGTCTCTACATTGGCTTCCTATAAAATATAGAGATCAATTTAAAATTCTGGTTCTTGCTTTCAAATCTCTACATAATGCTGCTTCAACCTATCTATCCTCCCTTATACACAAGTATGTCCTGTCTAGGCTCTTATGATCTGCTGAAGACTTATGTCTATCTTCTGTCCGTACTCCCACCTCTGATGCTCACCTTCAAGATTTCTCGAGGGCTGCACTGTTCCTGTGTGTCCAACTTGTGTCGTTATAACTACATGTCTGTTCGTCCACCCATTGTAAAGCGCTGCGGAATTTGATGGTGC